AGCTTCAGATAACTGGCAATCATGATTTTAAGCCACGTCGCATTTTAGCAGGCACACTTGTGTACTCTGAACTTGGAGAACCACTCCGTCGAATGGGAGAATAGTTTCCTTACAAATATTTCCGCCCCCCCCCCCCCCAAAAAAAAACAAAAAAAAAAAAAACAAAAAAAAAACGGGGTTTTGGATCCGCCCCTGCAAGATGGGCAATTGTCTTTACTGTGAAGCGTAGCATATTTAGTGGCACTAGGGGAACGGAGTGCCGATACTCTAAATAAAGCCTAGTTCATTCATTGGCTCTAGTGTGCCTAAGAGAAAACACACTGCCGCCTGCTATCGGATAGCCGTGGAACGCTTGGGCATTTCCGTATATGTCTTTTTTATTTGTGTGCGTGTGTGTGTGTGTGCATTATTCCGGCTCTGTTGGCTTGAAAATACTTTTTTACAATGTTTTAAACGATTATTTCTCATAACAATCTCGTAAATACGGGAAAACCGTGTGCTGTTCTAGTCAAACGCAATTCCAGGGTCATCTCATAGATGGCTCCAGCCAGGGCCGTACCCAGAAAAAAATTTCGGGGGGGGGGGGTTTCGGGGACAACGGCGGCCATTTTAAAAATGTCTATTGTCTTATTTTCGCCTATGAATCATGTGCATCGGTGGCATATAATGGAGAGTTATAGCAAACCGGAGAACCGGTCCCGGTTCGGTACCCGGTAGCCGACCGGCGCCACTGCGCGTGCGCAGAGGTGGAGATTAAGATCGGCTGGCTGCAAGTGCACCGACCAGGGCCGTACACAGAAAAAAATTTCGGGGGGGGTCAAAACCCCCTAACCCCCCCCCCCCCCCCCCCCCTGGTTACGGCCCTGGCTCCAGCGTACCAGTGTGTTCAAACACTTGACCGCCATTTTGTGTCATCGTCGCTTCATCTCTGGACAGTTCGTTACGGGCGATTCATGCCAAAGACATCTCATTCCAATATTTTCCATCGCAAGACGCTCTACTCCAGGAGTACTCATTACTTCCACATTTCATGTCAGGATTTAGATGCACAGGCCTGTTGCAAGACAATATTAACCGATGGCGCAAAAACAGTCAACAGCGTGGAACACGAGCGTTAAAGGGATACTGAATCGAAACTTAAAATACACCTCTCACGTTCAGAAATAGGTTAAACATGACCAACTCAATCTCCTAATGACAATCACACGATTGTATTTTGAACGGATAGCTATACGCCTCGCAAGTGGGCTCATTTTCGTCTTCTGCGCATGATAAAGGAAGTAGCGGCCACGTCAGAACGCCGAGCCCTGATTGGCTGATCGCGTCCCCCTATCTCAGCATCGTCTGCTCCTTTGCAACGTCGTCTGCTCGCAACGTCGTCTGCGCCTGTCTTACCTTTCCTGCGACTTTCGGAGCGAACTCGACTTCGCCTTTAAGAGAGGGCAGACGAAATAACTCGAGCGGTACGTTGTTTTTGTCTAAAACTAGCAGACGTGCATCAAGGAGGGAAGTCAAAGGACTCACTGGCGAGGTGTCCCGGGGCGCCGAGGTTTGTTTGCTTAGAACCAAGAGTGAGCGTGTTAGTGTCCGCAAGTTCCCTCCCAAATACTTTTTCCCTCCATTCGTGTGCGGCGAGACCCCTCAGTCTTTAACGGCGTCGGCGGGTTGGCGCAGTTAACGTCGTCTGCTTTACGTCTGCTAGTCAAAGCGATGGCTGCTTTACCTTTTCTGCGTCTGTCGGAGATTCACCGCTTTTTCACCGGCGAGAGTCACCGTTGCCTCGGGAAGCAAGGAGATAACAAGAGGAAGAAATTGACCTCTTAATCTAAAATTGAGGTCAGCGATCAAAGTATAATACGGGAAGGGTTCACAAGGGTCGCGCGGGCATATTCCATTCAGCACGCCAGCCGGTCGTGGGCAGGCGGTCGCCGAGTCGCGGAGCGCCTGCTAGGCCTAACTGCCCAGCTCGTTTGGTCGCGTTCGGTGGAATCGAGGCCGTTGGAGCTTTTCCTGGGTGTTTGTGGATCCAGCGTTCTTGTTCGTCGTGGTCTGTTTCAAGTACTTCTTAATTTTTTCTTGCTGCTTGAAGTCGGGACGCGTGAGAAGCGCACGTAGAAAAATATATCGTCCGTGGGTCGTCGCGACCGCGACGCTGTCGGCCATGCTGATTTGATCGTAAGAAGTGCGTAAAACAGCTTCGGAGGTGCCGTAGGATTTCGTCGTAACCTGCGCAAAACTTACGAAAATTTCGTTTCGTGACTACGAATTTGTTCTTAAGTTTTGTCTTACGCACAATTTTGGCGTAAGGTCGTTTCGTGAACCTGGCTTCTGCACTTTCGAAAGTCGCAGGAAAGGTAAGACAGACGCGGACGACGTTGCGAGCAGACAACGTTGCAAAGGAGCAGACGACGCTCAGATAGGGGGTCGCGATCAGACAATCACTGCTCGGCGTTCTGACGTCACCGCTACCCCCTGCGCAGGAAGCAGACGAACTTGCCCTCCGCATATTTCTTTTTCGTTTCAAAGGGCCGATTCGAGCGAACGCTCGATCATCCATCGAAAAGCACGATGCATCACGGGAGCAGGACAAATTGACGTCAAAGACGTGACGTCACTTGGCCCAGCACGGGTAAAGCTGCTCCGAGTACATGACGTATTTGCTTGAGTAATAGACACACTTCTTACGAACAAGGCCCTTGAGTCTACTTTCCTGCAGAACACACATACAACCAACCATCGCGCCATAAAACAAAAACAAAACAAACAGCGAATAGCGAGCTTGAGAACACGATTCTTCGTAAAAATACGATCTGAGCAGATGACATTTTCGCGTGAAGACGTTATCTCTGTCCCGTAAATCGCTGCCATTTTTCTGCCAAACGCGGTGATTCGCGCTCCGAGTGCTCCGCGGGAAAGCAGACCGACAAACTCTGTTCATAAACAGCGTGAAGGTATTCACTGGACGCCATATTTGAGGGCGATGTTTAGAGCGCATGCTCAGAACGAGCTCACATTAATAGCTTGCTAAGATCGGCAACCTTGATGGTGCGAAATGCACGCTCGAAAAGGACTGCGGAAGCTCGCCGTCAGCACGCGCTCGGCAGCAGCGCACACGGATATGGCCGCCAGTGAATACTCTTTCAGTGCTAACAAAGGTACGGGCGTGAGCGCGTGTATTTGGAGGGTGTATTTTATTTATGCGCGAGTTTTTATACGGACAAAAGCATGCTGTACTTACGCGCTTGTGGCTTCGTCTCTGTCTCTCTCTCTCCCTCTCTTTCTCTCTCTCTACATATATATATATATATATATATATATATATTGTGCCACATGTTCCAAGAAAAACAATCCTTTTTATTTTAATGTCCTGACATGTTTAGTTTCTGAGAAAAAAAAAATCTCAAAGAAGCGGGAAAGAACGACGAGGTTTTGACGATTGTCGTTTGTGGCGTTTTTGAATCACTTATAATCTCAAAGTATTCAAAAAAGAGCGTCTATATTTTTTTTTATTGTTATATATATGCAAGTCGGTAAAACGACATTCCAACTAGTATTTATTATTCGTCGATCCAATCTTTGTAAAAGACCCCAAACATGCCTTCGCGAACAACTGTAACGTAAACTGCGGATTTTTTTATTTTTTTCTTTTGAGTCGACTATGTTTAGTTTTGCTTTTAAAATAATACCACGTGTAGAACCTTTCATTGCCTTCTAAATTAAGCAAAGTCTGTGCCTTTATAATGTACGGGTACTGAGAAATAAATTATGAAACAGAGAAGGTTTTCACTTTTCGTTCAATTTCAACATGCTGTATATATATATATATATAAACATTTTTAATTTTTTTTTTCGCGTCGCTTTCTCTTTGGATTTTTCTTATACCCGGAATACATTCCGTTACACGTATATGCACTGGTTTTGAGTTTTAAGCCTCAGAGGCACTTCGTTTGCACTGTGACGAAAATTAAAATTTGCTGATTGTAAATACTACGCTCCTAGCCTATAAAAAGTTTTGTTACACCCTTTTTTAAGTTACGGGAGTTCAGTGTGGTGCACTTTTACTAAGGATGGAATTAACAAAGTTGAGCGTATCCAAAAGCTAGCTCCTCGGTTTATTTTTAATAATACGAGATCATCATCCACTGAATCAGCTAAAAAACCTCAGCTTCCGACTTTGCAAACACAAGTTATAATTGAAGGATCGAAAATTGTTTACCTCTTTACAAAATCATAAACGGCTCCCTTCATGTATATAGCTCCAATTACTTGAAACCTTTACAGTCCAGGTCGTCACGAATAAATCATTGCCCAACATTAACACAATAGAGGTTTAAAAACGACTGCTTTGGATTTTCTTTCTTCCCTCGGGCAACTCGTGGATGAAATAACTGAACAAATGGTATTGTGACTCTGACGATGATTTTCTATCACTTTGTAGATGTATATATATTGAACTGAACTTTAGCTAATTTGTTAGTTGGTGCGCCACGGCTTTTTGCTGTTGTGTATTCTGTAACCACTCGTACAATAACTCCCTAAATAAAGCTGGTAATAAAAAAAAAAAAAAAAAAAAAAAAAAAAAAAAAAAGCCTTCTGAAAAGTAAACTGGGTGCCAACTCCCGTCCCCCCTTCTCTCAGAAAAACCAAAGAAACACAATCCCATCTCCTCTCCTGCGCCTACCGAGCTAAGAATGATGGAACGGGCGCGTCTAAAAAGTGCACCTGCTAATTCGGAGTGTACGACATGGCTCTCGAACATATTGCACAACTGAGTTATTAACAGACGTGCAAATTGCCATTGTGAGCACACATCCTGGCGCACTCCACGCTAAGGTACTTATTCTTTTGTTTTCGTTTTGCTCCGTAGTCTTGCGTGTACTAACCGGAGTACCTTACATCAAGCTCCTGGTGGACGAGGACCACGTCGGAAAGAAAAAAAGAAAAAGCAAACAGAGAAAAAAGCACGCGTAATGTTACGACAGGGTGTGTTCCTCTTCCAGCAGGACCGACGTGGACGGCGACACTCTCACAATTAACGGACAAGCGGCCATCCCCCGGCGAAGACAATGCGCCCCGCCGGCGCACTGTCCCTTGGCCCCGTTCCGCACGGATGTGCCTTTTGTAGCGCGACCCGCCTTAAAACCCGCGGCCCGCAAACGCTTCTTCGCAGATGATTGCGTGCCCTGGCTTTCACCGGTGCACATGGACGGCGGAGACTGCGGCCGGAAGACGACGGGCATGCGGCCGGCCACGGTGAGGACATGCACGCCCCTGGACCTACGCGAGCTCGGATTAACGGCGGCGGTCCACGGACGGCCAGTTCCCTCTTTTGCGGCTCGTGGCGCGCGCGCGGACGACGCGATTCCTCGGGATTACTGTCCGTTACCCTAAAACAAATTCACAGGGTGTCTTATGTTATTCTTAAGACGACCTGAAGGCGAAAGCCCAAGCACCGATCCCGGTGATAGCGAACCTCCGAAGACAGCGGGTTCTCTCACGACGCCGTTAAAGGCCGACGACTAGACCCGAGATTCTGCAAGGCAGAAGATCCTCCTCATTATGGTGGAGGAGGAAACAGGCAACGGTGGACGGGGTGAAAGGGGGGAGAGGAGGAAGCGGAGGAAAAGTGGAAAGCGCGAACTGGTCGTAGGTCTTTAAAGGGCAACTCCGCTTCATTTTTTATATTTAGAAAACTATGTAGCCCTCTTCAGTATCATATAGGAAGACCCCATGTCAAATGTTACGATCTAATTCGGTCTATATATGTGATAAACTGGCCAGCAAACTTTCAAATCAGCCAAGTCGCCGAAATCTGCCAACTCCAGCGTGCGACGCGAGGCGCAATCGGCAGCGCAGTCAATGCGACGGAGTTGGAGCGGCCAACGTTGAGCCACTACGTCAGAGGCATGTCTACGTCAATCTCACGTTTTGTTTGTTTTTACTTCTCAAAGCGAAATTGAAAGATGATGTCATGAGTTTCTCCTCCCGGTGTTGGCTGAACGGCGTCCACGTGATCACCGTAACGCGGATGAGCTAGTTTGCGCTGCCCTGCGCGCTTATCGGTCTGTTTCTCCGCTCCCCCTCTCCTTTTCGTCTTCTCCCCCTCTCCCTCTCTCCCGGGCCATCACCATCCATGCCATGCGAAGCGACCTGCCCGCGTCGCGTGTCCTGTCCATCAATCCCATCCCTCCTCCCCCCCCCCCCCCCCCCCCCCGAACGTCACAAGACCACGTGGTTCGACGTGACGTGGCCATGACTCTGACGGAACGAGAGCAATGTTGCCTGACGCAACCGAAGTTTCGGTTTCGGTATCATTACACAAATAATATTTCACATTTCTCGAATCCGAGGTCGTAGAGCTGTTTAGAAGTGCTTTGGGAAATGGAATCACATGTAAACCTAAATTCTTCGGAATTGAGCGGAGTTGCCCTTTACCGCTGTCTTCACCGCTGCCCGAGCGAGAGCGTCCTCCTCTCCCGATGAATTTGCGCCGCGCACGCGCCTCCGCCGATTCTGGCACAAGTAACGCCATCTCGTGGTCCAGTGGCGAACCGTAGGTTTTGGTACCTTTCGTGTCGCCGACGCGTTTTCGCTCAAGGGCTGAACGATGAGACATATAAGGCTTTCGCCTTAATAAAGTCCGTGCGTCGGCTTACCTACAGGGCACTGGGGGATAAGCCAATCGCGGCAATCTAACGAGGAGACAAGTCGACAAAATATGTTCAGAACGAGAACTGAGCCTGCCATTTGGGACAGCGACTGCTTTTTGCGACCGTAGAACGCATCGAATGGAAATTTAACAACAATAATTGGGTAGAAGACGAAGAGAGTGGAGGACTGGGTGCGCCTGATTTGTTCCTTCCCGATTCGATGCGTTTGTGAACCCATGGTCATGGAACAATGTGAAACGGCATGCTTAAGGCCCGTTCACACTCTTGCATTTTACTCCCACCGACTGAGACAAGGCCGGTTTTTAAACCTCTTTTGACGGCATACGACCGAGTGCATCGTTGCGCATCCGATCGTACGCCGTCGCAAGAGGCTTCAAAGCCGGTCTTGTCTCAGTCAGTCGTATAATCAAGCAAACGTGTGTGAAGAAGCCTTTACGTGTTCCATCTTCGTCTTCGTCATTTGCCGAGCTCTCTCCGTGCATTGCAGCGATTGGTTCCTCGAGTGTCACGTGGAACAGTAGACGCGCGGCCGTTTCTTCGGGTGTCGCGGATGGGTTTACCTTTAGCTTCTCGGTTTGAGCAGCCTAAAGGGCTGTCCAAACGGGACACGCTTTCTGCTGTGCACAACATCTACTGGACGGAGGTTTTATTACCACCCCGCGGTCCGCTTTAAAACGTTTATTAGTATTATTATATTTATTTTTTACCGCGAAAGCCTAGTCATTTGCATTAATCGGTGTCCTTATTGAAAACGGACGCCAGCGCCGAACATTCATTTCCTAAAAATTAGCGCGTTTTTTTGTTTTTTCTTTCTTCTAGTGTACAGCAGGAGGTTTGTTTCGTTTCGACAGCCCTGATCACGCAACCGGTTGTAGCGTAATAGGAAAGAGAACATGCCGCATCCTCTCTTACCTCCTACATTCAGTTACAGGTCAAGAAAGGTTTTCGAGGGAAAGGAGGGCTGAGGAGGAGGAAGAAAACGAAGTGCTAGAGAGGAGAGGAGGAGACTCCCTCCTCTCTTCAGCGTTCCGTCTGCTTCCTCCTTCCCAGCCTTCCTTTCCCTCGCAAACTTTTCTTAACCTGCAACTACTATATATAGGCGCAAGGATGTAATAAGTTGGATAGACTAAAATATCGACTGACACCGGTTCCGTTTTCGTATTATAATAATAAGCGCACAAGAAATATGTTATTCACTATTTTTAAAGTTTTCTAGTTCCGAATAGTTAAAGACTACCCATCCAGCTGAACTATTTCAAATTCAGGATGAGCGTGCTGATTCTACATGTTTACATTATTTACATTTACAAGTAGGTATCATGTATCAAATTATTTCTTCCATTAAATGTTTAATGCTTAACAATTTGAGAAGACAAGTACTGTATTTGCTTGAGTAACCGCGCTGTTTATGAACAAACCCCGTGGGTCTGCTTTCCCGCGAAGCACGGGGAGCGCGAATCACCGCGATCAGCACAAAAATGGCAGCGATTTACGGGACAGAGATAACGTCTTCACGCGAAAATGCTATCTGCTCACATCGCATTTTTACGGAGAATCGTGTTCTCGACCTCGTTATTCGCTTTTTTTTTTTTTTTAGGGCGCAATGAATGGTTGTAGTGTGTTCTGCAGGAAAGTAGACGCAAGGGCCTTGTTTAAAAGAAGTGCGACTATTACTCGAGCAAATACGGTATTTGCGAGGAAAGGTACTTGCTATAGGCAGTCATGTCTCTCATTATGACACCAACTTTAGAGCCCAGAGACTAGACCACGATGCGCCAGACTCAATTCAGCGGAGTTTAGCCGCCATTTCTGAATCTGGTAATTACCGATGTGCGCCCCACCGCACTTCGGTTTTTAAAACCCGACCGGCTAGAAGCAAAAAAGAGATAGTTGCATGTAAACGTGGCACATGCTGCAGGATATATGTGCCAGGTGGCACAGACAGCATATTCGTGTCCACAGGATATCCAGCGGACGTTAAGATCTTGATTTGAGGGTATCTGCAGTACCGCGTGTGCTGCCGGAGATCGTCTTCGATACGAAGACCTCAAGGAAGGAGTGAAAACCGTCGTTTACGTACCACGAAAGTCGGCCCGCCGTTGAGTGGCGATTATCTCTGGAAGGATGCGTACACATGTACACTTTTTTCTTACCTATTCCGAGCACGTGCGGATACACATAATCCAGATACCAGGGAAGAGATTGGTCGAAGTCATTTTGGAGCAGCCACAAGTATATTTTGGAACAGGAAAAATAAATTTTCGAGCTTAATTAAGCACACACTTAATTTTCATTCATACCGCTGCAAATATTATGTTAAGATCGCCTGTCGAACTTAAAGACCTAACGTATCGATGCAGGCGATCGAGTTGGTTATGCAAGATGAGTTGGTTATGAACTTAAAGATTAAGTCTACTTCAATTGCCTTCCCACTTCTGTGAAACCTTCTGTTAGTGTCAACTGCACGGCAGGTTTGATTCCCTCGAACACAAGACAAGCTGCTTAGTAGTGCGTGAAGCACAAAACACGGCAACAAAATGCTGATTGACAAAGGACAGTATGAACTGCGATGCAGTTATTTCCGGTACGAAACTAAGGGTAAAGCCAATTGTATATTCCACTGAAATAATGATCAATTATAATATTTTAGAGCACGCAAACTGATGTTTTGTTAGAACTCTAGAGGTTAAAAAAAAAAAAAAAAAAACTAAAATTCTTAAATCAGATTTAAAAAAAAAATTGTATTTGACTATGACCATCAATTTGACTATGACCATCAATAACATTTTATATTTATAATTGCATCACACAAATCGGAATGTGAACGATGGATATGCCTCCTTAAAAAACCACGCCAAACTCGCTAAGACTGTTCTTAAGCTTCCATCCACTGCTACAGCTAATTTAGTTTTAATTTACATTATCGGCTGTGCCATCAAACAGATATGAAGTCATATAAAGATAATAACTAAACAAAAGAGTGCCCTTACAAAATAAACCTATAGAGCAGTCCATACAGATAATTTAAAAACATTCAACTCTCCTTGCTAAATCTCAAATATGAAAAAAGATATCCTCAGAATGTTGCAGTCCGTTATACATATAATAACCACAACTTTGTTCAGAAATCGCGTGTCTCGTCCTGCTCTGGAAAAGTGTGTTCCCTTCAGCACGCAGGTGCGCTGCGGCGAAACAGAACTCGCAAAATCGCGGAGTTGTCCATTTTGCGGTTGTCGCTCCACTGAAGTACACGTAGACTGTGAAGTGAGAAGCGCACTCGACGAAGTTAGCTAACCTGCCACGGCTGTGTTTGATAGAAATGAAACCACATAGGGTGATTTCATCTCAAATCGTGCAAGAAAAAATGATCGGTCATCAGAAAATTCTGAAAAAAAATATATATGTATGTGGAACGTGTGACTAGAACAAAACTGCAAATTAGAACTACGCAATTTTTGGTTTTGAAAGGGTGGAAGGTAGGTCTTGCGATTTTTGCAGTTTTCACGAGATTTAAAGTCTTGCAACGTTTAGATTTTTTTTTTAACGATAACCTTTTTACTGCTTTAAATCTTCACACAGAAGGGTTAAGGCCCGTTCACACATGCAGCGGAGCGCTACAAGCATAGCGCTAACCTCGCGCTAAGTGCGTGCTGACGGCAGCGTTCACCAGCTTTGTATCGGACCATCAAAACTGTTGCTCATGGCATACGATAAGTAGCTGATGGCACGTGAGGAGCGCTACATCAGCGCTTCGCTGCATGTGAGAACCGACCTTTAAAATTCTCTAGAAGTGTGTTGTCCTTATTTAATACTAATACTGGAATTTTGTACCTTTGAATAATGGATCAAGTTTGAATCGAGCTAGCTTTCGATGTACAATTATTTATTAAGATATGAAATAAAAGCTTGCATCTAAGCCTATATAAAAATGACCAGACGGTCTACGCGCTACGGTTCACGCAGTGGCCGTTGGCGGCGTTACTGCTTGTCCTGCTGCGGAGCTCAGCGCTCGGGTCCGAGTTTCCCCACCACCACAGCGGCCCCGGCGGAGTGGTGGTGCTCTACCACAAGGAGTCCCCTTTCTCCGGAGGGGACCGCGGGAGGTCCAACGGCCACTTCCCCAAGAGCAAGCACGGCTCCACGTCGCTGGTGCCCGCGGCCTCCATATTGCCCTCGGGCTTTGTCCACGGGCGACCGGCGTGTGCTAGGGACTTGGACTTGTGTGTCTTCAACCACGACTACCCCATGTGAGTCTGTGTTCCCCGATTGTATAACGCGAATGGTTGGCCCACGAAAGCTGAGAACTGTATGGCGCGCGCGCACAAATCCTTTTTTTTTTTTCAAGGACGATGCTTGCGTTTACTTACGCGCACTCCGTCAGAAAAAAATCTTTGTGGTTGACTTTTTTTCGTCCTTGACAGGGGCAGCATTAGGACGGCTTTAGAAGATGCGTGATTCTTATCTTAAATTTAGACGTAATAAAAAAATTAAAAAAACGGCGCGAAGACGAGGACAAAGTCTGAATACCAACTAGACCAAACTTTAAAGTTAACAAGCTTAAAGTTTACTGGATATGTTTTATTATTTTCCAGAGGTAATAAACCTTTTTTGAAAGTGCGTGCCACTCTGAGCATGTACTGGGCACTAAGGCTGCGCCAGCATTCAGCGAGGACAATGACGTAATAACCTACTCACATGCTTCGTGCCCAAGAAATGGCGGCCGGCAATGTTGCTTGATGGGGTTATGGAAAGCGTCTATTGTGTAGTTTACTCCAATGCGTGTCTGCATTAAAAGTTCTCATGCGGCAATAAGAGATCCTCTTAACTGCCGGGTCGTTCTGAATTTAAAAAGATTTCTTGGTATATTGGATTTCTGACATTATATTGCTAGGAAAGGGAAAGAGGGGTTATGTTCCAATGAGGCGGCATTGGGAGCTGTAGTCCCTAAGGAGAGTACATCAGGTCAACTCTTTTGAGGAGCCTGTAGCGGAGTCCCTCGATGAGGCGTTTTCCAAACAATTGCTCCATATCACATCGCACTGACTCCAGACCCAACGAGCGACGTCGAAACGGTGCTGGTCTGTTCTTAGCGGGCCACTGGCGGCCGCAAAACGTATATGCAAGATTCCGTTCTTGCTGAATGCTGTTGAAGTTAGGAAGGTGAGAGGCATTAGGAGGGGCCGCTTGTGTACCGAGCACGAAAGGCGAGACAGTCACCGAGAAACGAGCCGAGACTGACGACGTTTCTAGTTAGGAAAGACGCAACAATTTGAGTGACCCAAGTGAAAGGGATTTCTTTCCCTCGTTCCCTAAACCTCTTCCCCTGCCCTATTCCCCTTCTCTCCCCGGCATCCAGAGACAAGGTGCAGTCGATCGTGGACCGGTACTACAACCAGATGTATGACCTGCACCACACGCTGTACAAGACACCGCCGCACGAGGTGCAGTGGGTGGAGAACTACACCCTGGCCTTTGCCCAGGAGAAGCAGCACGGCAGCTTCGTGTGCCGCTCCGAGGCCGTCTACCTGCGCATCGGCTGGGCCAAGAACTGGAAGGGCCTCTGGCTGACCGTCGTCAACACCGAGCGCTTCCCGCAAGTCACGCGCGTCGAAAAGTGCAAGTCAGTGTGCCCTCGGGGGCTGCAGCCCTTGCGGCTTTAACGATATGACGTGCGAATTTTACCAATGTCACCTGGGGCCCTAAACTCGTCAAACACAAAGTTGGAGCCGAAGTTGAGGGAGCGCGCCAATTGGACAATCACGACGATGACTTGGCGTTTTTCTCGTCGACGTCCAATCGGCGCGCTCCGCGAACTTTCGGCTACAACTTTGTGTCTGACGAGTTTAGGGCTCCTGGAAGACGAGGTTTACGCCTTCCCCCCCGGGCCCAAACGCCGACACGTGACTCTAGTCACCACTCCTGTATCCACGCGGCACCTACCTTTAAAAAACCCTGAAACGAAAAATTTTATAGCAAGATTGACAGCGTGAGACGCAATTTAGTCGGTAGCCACCTCCTTTCCACTTTTTTTCTCTCTCGACATTTAGGGCGCGTGAAGGAGAGATGGATCGGCTTCGCTTTACATTGAGGTGGAAAGAGCGAATGACCAAATGACCATCTCATTGAGCCATAACCATTCCATAAAGTCATGGACTTTGCGCGCAGAATTTCAAATGAATCTCTCGCCGTCAATACTGCTCTTAAAAATATTTTTTCGCATAATTTTTTTTTTGACACGTGTGTACCACCCAGACTGTTAAAAAAAACTTTTTTTTTTTTTCTTTTCATGGGGTTTTTAAAACTTCTAGCAAACGGTCACCGTGTTGCGCGTACCGCACTGCCGGAGTCTTTGAATCATGTGCTTTTGAGGGCGCGCACCCCGCGCTCTAGGTATCACTAGGGCACGCGCTTAAAAGCATGCTTCAAGGGTTCAGGCGGTGGGGTACGCGGAACAAGGCAACCGTTTGCCAAAAGTCCCTGTTGAAAAGAATTGTGTTGCTTGTAATTTTAGACAGCCTTGATGCTAGTACGCCTCAACGAGTGGCCTGTCTTTTAGCTGTAGAGCCGGTACGGAACTCATCCAAATCGGGGTGTTTTCAACTTTACACTACCTTACTGGTCCCTGCTGGAAATGGAAAGCCCAATCACACTTACAGCCTGATCAGCTGCTTAATGAGATTCAATATGAAATGTAGCACTACCAATGTGAATAACTTGGGATTTTCTCATTGATGCTCTTAGGAACCCTGCAGAGAAGCTGCAACCTAAAAAAGAGACAGATTTGTGACCAAGGTGAAGGCAACCTTGGAGATAGAACCTTACGAGCCCCCCATGAGCACAATAGTACCTGATAGCACCGATATGCACAACTGACCTCACTGGAACCCTTGGAGACACTGCAGAAAAGCTGATATCTTCGGAAAGGGGTAGTTTTTCGTGCAGGGTAAAGCCAACTTTCCGGAAGATCTCAAGCAACCTCACACTTCAAAAAGTATCTGAATTATGGCGCCTTGCACTCAAAACAGGATCCAAAGTGGGACTCAAATATACTCATATGCCCATTGACCAAGAAGCTCCTTTGTCACGGTGTAATTTCAATGATAAAAGCAGACTTCCTCTTTCAGTCCCTCCTTCGCAAAACTTGACGACATAGTCTATGAGTTGCACTATAAACGTGGGGCATCCGTGGCTACGATAGTGAAATGCTACTCATAGATTGGACACAAACACTGCGCAGCTATTTTTTCTGATCGGCCAATGATTTACTTCACAGATACTCTCATTCGGCAAGTCAACAGTGAGTCGGGAGGAGCTTCAGGTTACATCCAGCGAAACGTATTACGTAAAGTTACATCGCGCCTGCCGTGGGGGTCCATATGGGATATGCAACCTCCATGCGTTCTACATAAGTAAGCTGATAGCTCTGGTAGGTGATCCAGCTGCATGTGCGTTCATGCAAAAGTTTTTTTTCTTCTTTTTTTAAGAGAGGAGCTCATGCTCATAGGCTTTATGGCAGTTCACGGTAGAGGGAGACAGTGTACAGGCTGTCCCCCCCTCCCTCCCTCCCTCACCCCCCCCCCCTTCCCCCCCCCCCCCCCCCCCAAAATTGTTTTTTATTGCAAAAATAAACAATGTATTGCTGAGCGCTCATCCTCCGTTCAAATGTAAAGCTAGCGGCCCGAATCAGATGAAAAGGTTTTAGAACCAATATCATGTAACTTTTACTCAAAAGTTATGTGATTTTCTGAAATGTTCAACAGAAAAATGGCGGCCGACGGAGCCCTCAAATAGCTCAATGGCACCAGTTACTAAGAACGGGCTTCAATATTTCCCACTGAAAATTTAAATAAAAAAAAATCGCATGTACCTTTTGAATAAAATAAAGGGCAGTCCTGAACTTTGGCATCCGATTCAGACTGCTAGCCCTACATTTTGGCGGAGAATGAGCGTTCAGCAGCATGCCTAGTTCTTGACAGGTTGAGAGTAAAGTGGAGGCTACTCCCACATCTTTCCACTTTAGCAGAGCGATCGCTGGAGAGGAGGCGACCTCCTTTTCAGCTTTCGCTCTGTCAAAGTGGAAAGAGCTGGGAGGAGCTTTCCCTGAACCTGTCACCTACTATAGTTTATTCCTGTTGGTAAAAAAAAAGCCAACCTTGTAAATGTTTTTTATTTTGGGACATGGAGAATTTGTTTTGGCCGCTTCTGGCGTGCAGGTACCGGGGCAAGCCGTGCGACTACATGGTGCCCTGCTACAAGTCGTCGTGCAAGCAGCGCGAGATGCTCTTCCCACTCATCGCCGTCAACCCGTACGACCCGGGACAGAAGCCCAGCATCGAGCTGTTCCCCATCCCCAGCGGATGCGTCTGCTACGTCGACGATTTCCGGTTCCACTGACCCTGCCCTCCAACACCCCTCCCCAACTCGCCCACAAAGCGCGTAGATTTACAACTCCAAACAAATTTCTCGTCGTACGGAGCAAATGGCTCCATTAGGGAGTTTTAGCAGATCGTTCCGACGACTCCGACACGCGGTGCTCCGCCAACAGCCTTGTGCATGTATCGTATCGGTGTCTGAACGTTCCACTAAAACTACCCGTTGCTTCGTCGAATCATTCATCACAATGCGTGTCTGCGGATGTCGGAAGGATAGTAGGACTGCTGCACTGGCAAACTTGGGAGAGTTGGTATGTGGGCTGAATGTTGTTTAAAACAGTGAAATATAGAGGATGCATCTCTATCCTTATTTATTTACAGAGCTGTATCCCGTTGGTTAGAGCAGTTCAAAAGTAGCATGAAGGTACAAAATTTAAAAAAAAAATCTGGTTAGTGTTTGCTTTTTCATAAACCTAGAAGCGTCCTGTGCCTTTACTGCAGAAGACACCACAGACAACTGCACTCGATTGCGTGCATACAATGTGGTCATATCGCTTACCAAGTATCATTTTTCGTTTGTACAAGTCAACGACAAAACAGACAGCCAGACATATTAATGAGACTGTAATATTAATAAAAAAAAAAGCATGGTTCTACGCTTTCACAGCTTCCGTGGCCTTGGTTTTCGTGTCCAGCTCGGGAGTGATGTGTTGGCTCCTTCGTTTGACCGATGATTCAATTTTGTCCAAGAGGTGCTGACAATCCATCTTTTCGGTGGACATGAGAAACGACTTGACGGACTGACAGTATTTGGGCAGCATTCTTGATTCGAGCTCTGTTTGGGTTAGCCATTCGAAATCGCTGGCCCTGTCGAGCTTCTTTAGGGAGTCCGCCGAAAGCGATCCACCCTGAAGTTGAGCCTTGAAGAAGAACACCTGGTGCAAAGGAGGTTATGGACGCTTAGGAACGGTAAGGCGTGACACAATCGAAAACAAACCACTGTTTTTGGCAAGGACAGCACAGGTCTTGGTATCCCGTATGTGTAGGCATTAGGCTTTCCGGTTTTGACCGAAAAACACACAGACAAACATCTGTCAGAGCCAAAATACAAACTCGGTTGAAACCAAAAAAAAAAGTAAATATTTGTTGGTGTTAAAAATACAAAATTGGTTCAAACGAAAAATGCACCGATTTCTCGAAATATTTTCTTTAGTTAGGACTGCTTTTGTCAAAATCGTCCCCTCTTAGACTTGAACACTTAGCTTTTTTTTCTTTTTTTTTTTTTATTATTATTTTACCGATAATCGACTTTCCGAGTTTGACCGAAACAGGCCACCAAAATACACCAATAATTGAAAAAAACAATAAAAAAGATATAAAAAAAATATCTGCCAGCTTTTCTTATACATAAACACCAGAAAATCTTTGGCCTATACTTATCTGCCAAATAGGAACATTTCCACTTACATTGATTCAAGCAAGCAAACCTCAAAAACACACGTCATTAAATTCCCTTCAGATGAGCAAAGTTCTGGAGCACAACTATGCACAATACTTCGGTTAGTTGCCTACTTGATTATGACAGCCCCCTTTAAAAAACGCATACTTCAATTTGAGCCAACAGGACTTCTGTGCTGAAAGGATGGGCGCAATTCTGTTAGTTGTGGGAATTCCCTTTGTTCCATTTCTAAAATGTCATAAATTTGTAGGTTCTCGAAACCAGAGTTGCATATGGGACAGCACTGACCGCCTACCCGGTTCATGCAAGTTCACCAAAGCTGCATACCTTCATAAGTGAAGACATTTTAGGCAATATTAGCTAAGCAAAATGGGTTCCCAGTAATAATCACCCACTATACAGCAAGCCAGGGGAGAGAAAAAGATAACGGATACAATGATCTTGTCACAGTTTCGAGGTAGGCTAGGCTTCAAATAATCACTCATTACATAAAACACGGCTAACAAATGGACGAGAGAAAATAAGCAAACGAGAGAGTGGAGAGAGCATTCAGGATTCCTCGAGTGTTATTACAGAAGACCCAGTAAAAAAACTACTTTAGACGGTCGGATTTTTTTTTCTCAAAAGATGTTTCCCAATGGTCAGGCTTTCTTTCCAAAAGAGTGGTATAAGGGAAAGGCCAATGCACTTTTTTTTCTTAATTATCTGGTGAGAACACATACAGTGCTTGCAACCTGTTCAGGTTTAAAAGCATTAAATGGAAATAGTGAAGGCAAAAAGTTGCAACCTCTCTTCCATTCAGTTACATTTTGGCACGTCTGCTTCCACAGCGGTTCCAGATTCCAAACCGGAGGTACTTTACAAAGCTTATTCAACGGGTTAAAAGCTCTCATACTCGGAATTCAATTTGGAGGAGCAATAAAAGTCTGAATCGGAAGAGCCGACCCTCCGATTGCCACTACCGCGAGAGCAGCCGACAAGCGAAGCAACCACATCGCTCGCACTATCAAGTGTGAGGAGCGTCTAACTTCAAAACTATAATTAGCCGCAGAAAAGCGAAACACGAAACACCGTGCTAACATAACGTTTGTAGTTCACCAAAGACAAGACAAATATCAACACCTCCCACGATGCACACGGTTTAGTGTTTAGGCAGGCACTTTCAAATGTGTAGCCGCTGCCGCACGTGTACAGCGACCGCCAAAGGGTTAAAAGCCTCCCGGACTACCAAGTTGTGGAGGCGGAAGAAACTAGGAATCTTTTTAGAAGAAGCAGAAACGTTATTCCCTAGCCAGACTGCTCATTCGAGAAGTCCTTGCACGGCACGCCACACCTTGCCTGCTTTCTCTGTCGGACGATTTGCCACCAACGGAAGGCCAAGCCCTCACCTTTGCCCCCACGATCCCGTCTTTCCGGAACTCCGCTGGATAGCGGTACTTGTAGCACCCGGCCGGAGCATTGCCGAGAAACCGCACCTCCAGGCCACTGCCGCAGACTTCCGCCAAAGCTCGCTCCGCCGTCTGCAAAAGAAGCAGACCTTGCACCACCTGCCGCTACTATGCTGCCCAGAACGCCTCTTCGACTGGTGTGTTTAGTGTCCTATTTAACCCATGCCTCGACAGAGAGCAAGGCGGAGACGGAGGCAGAAATCGGGGGACCACTTCTTTGGACGCGGTAAACGCACCCGTCGGAGACCCATATAAGGCAGCGTACCGCCGCAATCTCGTCGGGGGTCGAAGCGGCCGACGGACGGAGGCACACGTCTCACCTGGCGCATGGTCTCCCCCACCGTGTGAACGGTCTGCGGCAAGATCCACCGGTGTCCGTTTCCAAGCCGCTGGTTCACGACGAGCAGCAGGGGATGGTCGAGGAGACGTTCTGTGCTGCGTTTGTCTCCCCTCGTGTCTGCGTCTGGGCCGCCAAAAAAAATGTGGCGTCAATGGTGCAGACTGAAGGGGCTTCGAACACGCTTCTCGTAAGATACCAAGAAATCTTGGCTGTGCGCTCGTTGGGTTCATTACGGTGTGCACGTTGAAAGATGAATGGGGCGCCGACAGCCCCAGAAGTGTACTTGCAGCAGTAGCTGCACATACTGGTAGGTGGACATTCTCAAAGTCTGTATGACCTCCTCCACCCACCCTTTAAAAAAAAGTTTTTTCATGCAAAACGGTTAAGTATAGACCGACACGCTGTTTACAAACAAGCCCGCCTTTGCCCACACCAGGTGTGGGCACTGCGCATGCGCAGAAACCGAATTTGGGAGGAGTGAAGCGTTTGCGCATGCGCTGTGCCGCCGACAGCGCCACCGCAGTTGCATGACGTCAGGGCCGCGTGTCGGTCTATATAGTGTGAAGACCCAACCAATTTATATTTTGGTGGTGGAGCCACGTAACTGCTGACAAAGCTAAACAAAGTCAGGCTGAAGTCAAAGAACCAAAGTAATTTCTGATAATGATTTAAAGTGATCAATTGGTGCGAGCTCTGTGTTGTCATCAAACATGACTGAGGACAAAAGAATAGGGGCAGCTCCGAGCAGGAAAGTTCAATTCTGAGCCGCAGGTATTTTTATTGATAGTTGGGCCTTTGTAGGTCACGTTTTGGGAAAAAGTTTTGACACGCATAAGTGCAGTGTCAGAGATCAAAGATCAAGATATACAACTCCTCGAAGACGACTCCTCAACTCAGCAAACATACTTAGTTCTCGCAACACAAGACATCATTCTAGACGCTGAATGTGCGGTAAAGCGTAACGTTGCTCGAAGAAGAAACGCCGGGTAGTGGTTAGTAAAAGGAACATGTTCACTCCCAATCTCGACACTAACCTCCCATCAAAAGTTAGGTTAGTCAAGAAAGTTGCGAACTACGAGCTAAGCCCACCCGTAAGCCTTGAAGCTGGCAGGAATTCCTTGGCTTTCTTGTTCCACTCCTCGGCGATGTCGTTTGCAGTCTGAATCTTGATGCCGCCGCCCTCATCAGTGCTGGCCTTCCGTTGGGACTCTCTGCACAACAGGAAACCACGTTTTATATTGTGCAAACACAAAGAGCTCTCCGATTTCTCAAACATTCCTTCACAAACATTCTTTCATAAAGACTTGGATCCGGGAGGACGCACATAACATTGCATTTCCTAAGTCGTCAACACTGTGGTTGCCTCTAGAAACTTTCTGAGGATGGAAAGCTCATGTAGTTCATAAAGCCAGCAATAGGAGCATTCTGGCGTCAATCAAGTTTATTTTCAGTTACCTCAGCAGTGACCACGTTCCAGAACGAAATATCAAATCATAATTTCATATAGCAAAGTCTCGAAGCTTTGGGGTGTAAAAGCAAGATGGTGGAAAGTTTTTGCAGAGTTCACAGAAATGTTCCGAGCTTTGTCCTAGTTTTGGTTACCCACAGCTCCCGAACACTCGAGGGAGCCGAGATGGTTCTTCCCAACATTAAAATACAACCAGCTCGCTGCAATTCCTACTGATAAACCAGACTTAATTACTGACTAATGAAACGAGCAAAAAAAAAGTCTGGGGTGTCCCACTGAAAGGAAGATCCTCTATCAAACCATGATGACACCACAAGGGATGTCACAACCTTGTGTCACATCAGGCTAGGTGGCACAAGTTGCCGCCCTATTCAAAAAAGTCCAGCCGTATGCATCCATCCATCCATCCATCTACATCATGCTATCTTGGGGCAAGGATGAGAAAAAGTCCAAGAGAGCAGCTTACGCTTTGACCTGAAGTTCGTGGTCGCTCAGGAGGCTTGCCTCGACCTCCATGGTGCGAAGCATCTCCAAGTACCTCCTCTCGAACTCGTTGAAGTCCCGAGTGATGACGGGCTTTCGCTCCAATGCCACTGCACTCACGAGCTGCCATTCCGAGGACGGCCTCACTTGAGTCGTTGCCGGCATGACAACTGAAATTAAATTAAATTCTCTCGCTACCGCCCGTTCAGACAAAGGGAAGGACAGTTACTTTCAGCGTGTGTATGGTGCTCGGAGCACGTCTTCGACTGGCACGTATGCCATCCTATCCTGCCCACACATCAAGAGTAGTCCCCAAGCGGCAACGAATTACGACATGGAAGCGTCATGCATCGGCACTCCATCCGTCTTGAAAAGCGTACAGACGGATAAAGTCCGAAGCGTCGAAGATGGTTGCTTTACTCGATCCTCCGGGATCGTCATCAGCCGTTTGTAGAGAACGACAGCCGGAAAACAGCGAGAAAAACTTTCCACAACGAACGCACCAAAACGATCGCGTCTAGGAAGCAAACGGGGTGACGGGAGGACGGACTGAGCCCGCAAACGTTTTGAATTATCTCCACGAGGGTGCGCCACGGTCGCTTCAACGAACTCTGAAAAAGGTCAATTCAACCATTTTCGTCAGCATCTTTCTTTCCTGCCTTGAAACGCAAGTTGGCGATACGTCCCCATGACCCACGGCACCGCTTTCGCACGCACGATCGTCACACTTCCCCCTTTTGCCCAGCATAGTCGCATACATAAAGAGGTTTGTTCAACGTCGATGACAAATGCGGCGTTTAAAAGAAGAACAGTGAGAGTAGGCAATGGGCCATCCTGAAAACAGCAGTCATTACTCTTAATGAGTAAAGCTATACGCACTCCGGAGTGCGCTTCGGACGGAAATGGCTATACGCACTCCGCTTTTCTCGTACAAAAAGAGTGGACACAACAAGTTTCCTAAGCGGTGCCATGGCATAGGAATTAAGGTGTCTGCTTCATACGCAAGTGGACGCGGGTTCGATCCGCGGTGGGCCTACTTTTTTTTTTTTTCTCAAACATTGTTTTGTCGAGGCATTTGGCGTTATTTACGACATTTCCTTTTTTGCAATGAACAGTTAAAAAAAAAAAAAAAAAAAAGAATCGAATGTTGTCGAGAAACTTCGCAGAACTAAATGGTATCGGACTCCCTTTCCGGAGGTGCGATCGGGGACAGCGGGGCTTGGATTGCCGGCTGGACGCCGGCGTGTACTGGTTACGCTTTGTAATTAGCAGCCGATACTGTCGCCGCGAAGCGGCGTGAACGCAGGCGGGGGGCTGTGTTAACGAGCTCCCCAGTGATTCACGCGCCGTTCGAAAAGGGTGGCCCAAACGGCATGATCTCTCGGAGGAGTGCGTATAGCCATTTCCGCGCGAAGCGCACTCCGGAGTGCGTATAGCTTTACTCAATCTTAATTGCTCGTATGAGTAATGCTATATGCACTACGGAGTGCAGCTCGGCCGGAAATTGCTATATGCACTACGTTTCTCTCGTATAAAATGAACGATCACAATGAGTTTTCCAACCGGTGGCATAGCGTAGGGGTTAGCGTGTCCACGTCGTACGCAAGTGGACGCAGGTTCGAATCGCGGTGATCCTACCTTTTTTTTTTTCATTTTTTTCTGGAACGTTGTTGTGACGAGGCATTTGGCGATATTTATATTTCTTTTTTGCGATGAACACTCATAAAAAAAAAAAAAAAAAAAAAATGCTGGTTAACTTTTTTAATTAGCAGCCGCATACTGTCGCCGCGAAGCGGCGTGAACGCAGGCGGGGGGCTGGGTTAACGAGCTCCCCAGTGATACACGCGCAGTTCGAAAAAGGGTGGCCCGAGCGGCATGAGCTCTCAGCGTAGTGCATATCGCAATTTCCGTCCAAAGTGCACTACGTAGTGCATATAGCATCGCTCAGATGCTCTTACTGTATTCCAGAAGGTCCGAAGAAATGCACGACACGCCTACGTAGTACTCGTTAAAAGCCACAGGTTGGTATTTCCAGTCAACTGCCAAAATTGTCGCAGAACCATGATGAATATTCACTTGTCCAATCCGCTGTTGAATAAATATTCAAGAGAGGAATGTCGGACTACGAGACAACGCGGTTTGGGACAGCAGCATTGGACCGACACGTCGAACAATTACCCACTTCGTTCACGTTATTAAACAAAAACAAACAAACAAAAAAGCGGAACAATATCGTGTTTTGACTAACCTCTCTCGTTTGGTGCAACTGAATTCTGGAGGCAAGCGGCATTCCGAAGAAATCTCCTTGAAACAACCACGGAGCACCGCACGGAGGAGAGCGCCATGTTGACTCAAGGGATTCGGATTAAAAAATGGTATTTGATGTAATCCAAATCAATCCAAAATGGCTTCTTGTCTCTTTCAAAAATTGTCATAAAAATCAAACCTTCCTCGGTCTACCGTATAAAAGGTATGAAATACCTCAATTTAGTTATTGTATAAAATATCAAGTTAAATTATAAAAAATTAATATATGAAGACTAGATAGAAAAGAACAGCGCTAACTACTGTAGCGCTAGCAGCCTCCATCGGTATCCAGCGTCTGATCGGCATCAACATCACGACGAATTTGGAAAAAAATAACAAAATAAGGGCGTTTTTCGTCCATTTTCGCTTTCTTTTCCTGTTGTGGAGGGCCCGGCAATTAGAATTAATAATTAGGAAGAATAAGCCGTATTGGTAAGCTGAGATGTTCATAATACATGTAAAAATGAACCAATTAAGTTATCCCAATATTGGAAAGCCGGAAGCTCCGCACGCAGGACGAAGTCGGTACGAATGAGTCATGACAAGCTTAACCGACATGACGAAGATCATAGTTCTGCTTTTAGCAATCGGTGAGTTCCGTCGTTTATTTACGTCGTATCCTACGTTAATTCCCGAAGCTCCCGAATGAATGAGTTTATGGATAGTTTTTCTTTTTCATTCAGTTACGTGTTTGGCGAGGTCTGAAGCGGAGCCGGGTGAAAACGATCTACTCATTAGAGCCCGACAAGAAAAGGTAAGCATAATAATGACTGAACGCGTAAATTTATGAAGGGTGCACTTTTTTAATTCTACTTTAAATTCTAATTTTAAAAATGATTACATTTTTAATCGCTCACGCGTGTTCTTTATTTCAGGAACAGCTGCATCACTCGGTGAATGCAAAAGGTGCGTAGTTCGGCCAAAATAAATTTTTCTTCTCGGTCATGAAAAGTGATCACCGTTTATAACGACACCAAAAGTAATTCAGCGGGGAAAGAGAGCTTGTTTCAGTTGTAACGTCTCGTATCGTAAGAGAGGTGTTAGAAACTAACACCTGAAATAGAGCGACTAAAAATGCCAGTTGGTTGACAAACTGGTTAATTAAAGTGGGGACAGAAAAACAACCATGGATGCTCGGAATGCTTTCCTATTCTTCGACTCATTGGCCGAAGGGGAGACTAAACAATGCTGCTATGCGACGTTCATTCTGTGCTGATCAACCTCTTTGCAATGCTGTGGCTGAAACAGTTGAAAAACTATGGGGTGCCTTTTGGAGGGCCGTGTCCAGCAACCGTACAGCATACACAAGCCACGGTTGCTAATGGACAATTGCTACTCTCTCGTTCTCCAACCAGAGTTGCCAGAGCAGCCTGTCAGTGCAGTTGTGGCAGAGGAAGCGAGCCAATCACCGGGACCTGCACCGCACTCCAGTCGCCAACACGATCACCCCAACCTTCACCAGGACAGCAGCAGTCCGCTCCTGCAAGTCAACTTCTGGTTGACGCTACTTATCTCCGCCCTGGCGGCCGCGTTGCTGTCCTGAAAAGCCCCTCTCCACATCGTCGAGTTTTTAGAGTAAATTAAATCCTGGTTTGACCTTCAGTTACGTTGTGTTGTTTCACGTGTAAGTGCTCTGTGGGTCGCCCGGAAAGTTTTGCCTCGCATTTGTCGTTGTCTCTTTCGTGGCCTGTAGTCGCTGACAGGATAGGAGAAAACTTCTTCGAATGACCAGCCTCCAGCATGCACTCGTCGACTTCCTTCATGCTTTTGAGTGCGCTTGCATGCTCCTAGCTAACAAGACGCCCGAGTGTTATCAAAAGTAGCAAGCTTGCGCTCGAGGCAGAACAATTGAAGGCCCCTCCGCCTTTCTTAGCCTTGCGATTCGAAGTAGAGTTAACCATAGCTCGGGGTATGTGGGGCGTAAGCTCGTGCTGCACGATCCGGAGATCGTCCCCGTGTTTGAACCCTGCCCTCGCCCACTTTAATTTGGATGAGAAAAGTACCAGAATGTGGTTCTGTAACCACTTCCCTGCGACACATTTTGTAGACCCCGTTGGCAGTCCTGCTGCACTGGGCAAGTTGCTCCTCTACGACGTCGAACCAGTGTCACAATATCTTAACAACCGACTAAATCTTTTGCTGTACACACCTCAAAATGTCCAATTCGCTTCTTGTTCCCGTTTTGCCCTTCCATAATTCAGCGTGCAGAACCATGCGATGCTTAAAGCACCAAGTGTTTTCTAAATTGCATTTTCTGTTGTCCGATAATGGCACCATAGATCTGGCACAACGGAGACCCTCTTGCATTTAACCTTAGAGTGCAATCTCTGCAACTGGGAACAGCACACTTGTGATAGGAAAGGGGAACCAAACCCTCATACTTAATTTTTACAAACTAAAAGCGGCACAAGCTAGACAAAGGACCAGAAAAGACCCACACGAACTGAGCACCGTTTTGATACCTTTTAAAGGGGCATACCCAACTCAACGAAGTTTCTTCCATTCCTCAAACATCATATTGTCAAGGAAACTAGCTGCAATTACACTCGTTTTTACCTCCAGGAAAAAGGAAGTTTTGCGCACTGTTAACACACTGTGTAAAGTAGTTCTTGCAAGGTTTTGTTGTCGGAAGAAGCGATGCTCTTCGCATTTTAAGCGTGTATGGCTTGATAAGACGACATATCTAAAGTTAAATGCACCTACACTACATAAACGGGGAAATTAGTAATGCTTCACAAAGAGCCAGACTTTTTTTTACTATGGTTCTTGGCGGTAACGAGTATAGCTGGCATAAGTAAGGGGTCAGTGCACGAAAAACTAATGAAGCAGTTCATTTTCTTGTCCCAGCAGATGCTACAGGATGCAGTAATTTGGTAGCCTTCAGCAGCTTGAGGAGTAAAGTAGGATGCGCTTCCAATCTTCCACACACCTCTCCACATCACGTTCAGCTTGTAGACTGTCGCCGACAAAGTGCAAACGGCAGGGCATGTCTTACAAATACTCGGCCTTCAGCATGCGCGCCTTGCCTTCTGCCATGCTCTGGCTATGCACATGATACGCCGAAGCATTGTCAAAGGTAGGAAGTTCTCGCTGAAGGCGGGGCAACTGAAGCTCCTCCCTGCCGTTTTTTTACCTTGTCAGCGACTATTGTATCGCACAGGAGGGCACACACAATATTTTTGTACTAATTGGAAGAAAACCGACGATGTTTGTGACTACACTTGGCACACTTTGACCTTTGTAGCCCTTGCGCCACAAAACGCCAGCAGGGTGTCTAGCAAAGTATAATTTTTAAATTCCCTGACTTTTCCGGGTTCTCTCTGCCAATTTCAGGTAGAATTCCCTGATCACTGTAAAGCAAGTGAAATGTATGAGACCATGGGCGTACCAACCGGGGGGGCAAGGGGGGCACTTGCCCCCCCAGTTCTCAGAGTGGGGGGGCAAGGCAAGGCCCCCCTTGAAACGGCCGCCACTGGGCAGAGCAGACACAGGCCGGCGGCGCCCAAGGAATACCAAGGGCACTGCCCTCCGACCCGCGCGGGCATATTTTTAACGCGCAGGCGATACAAACCCTAGCAACGGTGCTCACGCACGCCGGATTGGCTGGTTCGTAAAGCCTTGCTCCACGAACAAGGCTACACGGTAACCTTACGGAATCCATCCGCGAGACATGGGCCGGACGGGCCGTCCAGACCAGGACGTAGGCCCTTACACAAAATAAAGTTTTGCTTGCTTGCTTGGAGATAGGGGCTGCCGCCGTCAACATAGGCAGCGGATGCAATGCGAGTTTCCGAAGAGGTAGCGTAACTTAGTGGTGAGATGTCTGCCTCATACGTGTCAGACCCGGGTTCTATTTATGGTGTGGGCCGGCTTACTTCTTTTTATTTTTTTTCTCGAACATTTTGTTTTGTCGAGGCATTTGGCGATATTTACATTTCTTTTTTACCATTAACACTAAAAAAACGAATGTTGTTGACGAAACATCGCTAAACTAAATCGTATCGACTCTATTTACGGAAGTGCATGGGGGGCAGCGGGGCTTGGGTTGGCGACCGGACGCCGCAAAGCGGCGTGTACGGGGGGTGGGGGGGCTAGGTGGGTTAATAGATTTGTAATTAGCAGCCGCACACCGTCACCGCGAAGCGGCGTGAACGCAGGCACGGGGGTGGGTTAACGCGCTTCGAGTGATACACGAGCAGCCCATCCGGCGTGAGCGTCGTTGTTAGGGGTTCTATCGCCTGCACCGTAAAAGGAGCAGTGTGTGCACCTCCTGTAGTGGGCAAGAATTCCTACATTGGAGAGAAGCGGGGACAAGCCCTTTCTTCAAATGCGTCAAGTCTCCTTGAGCTTCGGAATACAAAGAAACGCCACTATTCGGAGCTAATCCCACAGTTACTCGACCTCTCTTGCGTCGTGTCTGTTCGCTCCCCGCGCCTCGTAGCAGTGTTGTTGCAGTGGGGGGGCTCATTAAAATTTTGGGGTTTTTTGGACTATCTAAATCACTTTCTTCCTTCCCATCCCCCCTTTTCTACTCCGCATGCTTCCCCCTCTGCAAATATCAGCTGACCTTCCGACCTCTGTTCTCTGTTGATAGGCAAAACAACCACTAAAATTAGAAAGTAATTTGTAATTTGAGTGGAAGTCACTCGGAAAAGTAGTTAAAGTAAACTACTGATTACTAGAATAGAAATGTAATTAAAAGTTACTAAACTACCCAGAAAAGTAGTTAAACTACAGTAACTTGAGTAAAGTAGTTGAACTACGTACAAGTCTGGCCTGGCAAGCGCTCTGCGTAAGTGTTTTCACTGATCTGCCTAGCCCCGCACACCATCACATGGGCCAAGAAAGGTGTAGTTTTACTGCAGAGGAGAAATCAGCAGGGTCCAAGATGGTGACAATGGAGGATGGGGGACTGTTCCAGTGGCTGATGGCTTGAGAAAGGAATGACCAATCGAAAGTGTTCGTAGAGCCAGAAGTGTGTTTGATGGTGCAGACGTTGTTGAGGCGAGAAGATGTTCGGTCGAGGGGTAATAACAAAGTGGTTTTGAGGTCGGGAATGTAGTAGTAGATTTTGTGAATAAGGCACAGCTGAGAGACTTTCCTGCGAAGCTGCAAAGAGGACATGGTTAGTTCAGTTTTTAGCGCCGAGACACTGAAAGAAAAGTCATAAGTGGATGAAATGAAGCGAGCAGCTCTGTTCTGAACTGCCTCTACAGCGTATTGATGAGGTACAGTCGATGGGTATTCCAGATGGTTGCAGCATATTCTATTTTTGGTCTGACGTACATGTTAAAGGTTAGCTTAGGGACAGGGTGGAGCGATTTTTTAAGTTACGTCTGCTTAGTCCAAGAGTTCCAGATGAATCGGCGGTAATGACTTCAATGTGGTTATTCCAGGGAAGGTCAGATGTTAGTCTTACACCAAGGTATTTATACACAGTAGCGGTCTCAATCAGATCGGAGTCCAAGAAGTAATTAAATGACAGTGGTTTTTTTCTTGGTGAAGTGGATTAGTTTGCGTTTATACTTGTTTGGCGACATAATCCACTCTTTGCACCAATTGTTCATTTTATCTAGATCTTCCTGAAGCTGGTTATTATTTTGCACACAAGTTACTTTGTTATGGATGACGCAGTCGTCGGCGAAAAAGCGTTTTTTTGAAGAAATCCCAATGGGAATGTCATTAATAAATATTAAAAAGAGTAAGCTAGGGCCCAAGTACGAACCCCAGGGGAACACCAGGAGATACATTTATTAAGGAAGATTCATGATCATCATGGACGTGACCTGTACACGGGAAAAAAGAAAGTCACGAATCCATGCAAACGGTTATTGGTCGAGGCAAAAAGATGATAGCTTAGAAAGAAGGCGTTGATGGAGGACACGACCGAACGCTTTGGAAAAAAAAAAAAAAAAAACTGCGTCAGTTTGGACATGACATTCAAGGTTAGTGTGCAAGTCATGGATGAAGTCGCAGAGTTGCGTTTCGCAGGAAAGTACCTTTTGAAAACCGTGCTGCTGTTTAAAGAAAAGAAATGGGATGATAGGTGCCTCATGATATTGGAGTAGAGGATATGCTCAAGTAGTTTGCACGAAATTGAAGTCATTGAATTAGGGCGATAATTAGATGCGGAAGAGCGGCTGCCCTGTTTAAAGACTGGGAATTACCCTTCCCACCTTTTGGTCAGATGGAAGGCAGCTTTGAGATGAGGACTGAATGAAGATGAGTTTCAAATACTCACTAGAAATAACACGGGTGTTTCTTTTAAATTTTAGGGTTGATGTTATCGGTTCCAGCGGACGAAGTAAGTTTTAGTTTATCAATCAATGTTTTAATACCAGCGGAGTTAACGTTAATAGGATGCATGCGCTCGTAAAGCTCTTCAGGGAGAGTGGGGACGAAGTTCAAGCACTCGTTAGTAAACACTGATGAAAAGTATTCGTTAAACACAGAACTATCATGCTCGACGTTGCACATCCGACATTCCTAACTCTCCCCATCTTCCTAAACGTTCGTGTGTGTCCTAACACCAGAAACCGGAATTTTAAAGGTTAAAAACGGCACGTTGCGAATATGGAACGCGCACTTTCATGCAAAGCTGACGTCAAGTGACTCAAATCGAAAAACATGCATATTTACAGTATTGTTATCTCTTCTGGTGAAGGCTAAACAATCGTTGCATCCGTTTTCGCGCACGAAACGGTGACTCCCAGAGAAAGTAAGAACGCAGTGATTGTCTTTATTTTAACAATGTAAACACACTTGCAGGCGTGCGCTGATGAAGCCTCAAAATCAAAACTCTCGTAGTGTGATTCGTGACTGCTCCGGCTACTACCCAACCTCGTTGTCACGCCACTTTCTGCAAGCAAACACTAAAATTGCCAGTAAACACACAAAAGCGACATCGATACAATTATCTTGTAGAATATCACCTTATTTAATCATAACTGTTTCAATAGGCACTACAAGTTGTATTTATTTTAAGAAGAAGAAGCAAAATTTTTTTTGTGAGAAAAAACAAAATATTAATGTTAAGTCTGGTAACGTTGTAATTTTGCCGAATCATTGCCACATCTTTAGAAAACTTCGACAAAAGTTGCGCCAAATTTTCGATTAAGGGGGGGGGGGGGGGGAAGAGGGTCGGGTTTGCCCCCCCACTCAAAAACAAGTTGGTACGCCACTGTATGAGACCATTAAAACACAAGGCATTGAGCACTGTGAGCATCATTTTGCACGGGCCTAACCTAGCTTGCATATTTGGGTTTGTCCAGTCCGGTTTAAACAAGCACTTTCTTGCCGCCGACATAGTCAGTGAAGAGGTCACTTCCAGAAAGACGGTGAAAAAACGACGCTCAACCACACACGCCAATAACTGAATGGCAGCACGGCGCATGGCCACCAGATGCACACTTTCGGATAATTTCGGCTTGATGCTTGGATTGGATTGGGGTCTGCGGCTTTCCCATTTGTTACTAAATCTAAAAAGGTCTAACTGGATCAAGCGTGGTGTCGTCCCCTCAATCCAATCCAATTCAAGGCTTCGACTAGATTTGTCGGCTGTTCCCTTTGCATCGAGTAGCACACTCTATATCGGGTGAGCAGAGCCCGCGCTCCGCTCTAAGCAGAATCTATTGCCTATCTTTCTTCCCCCAAGTCCTCAGGTCTTTGCTCAGGGCACTCGATGGCGTTTCCGGCTCATTTTCTTCGACGGGACTCACTTTTGGACAATACGGTATCCCTGACAATTCCCTGATTTTTCCCGGTAATCAAAATTTCCCTGACAAATCCTGGTTTTCCGGGTCGCTAGACACCCTGGAAAGTCAATCAATCAATCAGTCAATGTTTCCGATAAATGCTGGCTCGAAACATGGAACCAACATGGTTTCGTTTAGGGAGTGCACAACGTTTTGCTCGAATCGAAAGAATCCGTCTGTTCGACACAAACTTTCCTCTATAAGTTTTCGGGCAACCTTCCGCAAAAATGCTAGGTCTTTCCCATATGGTACGAAGCCACCCCTTTTCCACCGCGATATCGTGAGCCCAAACGGTCATTGCAAAAAAAGTTATCCGTCGCATTGCACGGGCAAAGTGTGAAAGAAGAAACGACGCCGCCGCATGCGGTTTGCTTTTGACCTCCGTCTTTATTCGAAGTTGCAAGACTACGATATGGTGCTTGGGGTGCATCTCGGACCGGCGCATTTAGCGTTCCGAATTGCACACACGCAGAAAGTGGTCTGGAAGGGCCAACAAATTACGTCGTGGAAGCTGCCACGTCGTGCCGTCGAGTGTCGCGACCTCGACCGTCAGAAGCACCAGCAAAAAGCCTGAACAAATGCAAGCATCGCCGTCGTTGCAACGTCTCAACTTGAGGTTGCCGAAGTTTCCGCAAACTGCATTACCGAAAAGCGACCTACAACAGAACGAGCGTATGCTGTGTCCACATCCGGCGCCACACCAATACCAGGATCGTGGCACAACACACTACGACGGCACAACCACTAACAAGGGCGCAGTTCAATGCACCAGTCAGAGATGCGTTCCAAAGGCACCTCGACTATGGAACGATGCCAACCACAACAGAAACTAGATGTCCTGAACCCCGGCACGGAACTTTTCTACGATAAACCCCTTCTCTTCTGTAAAGCTGACGTCAGGCTCTTCGCCTTCCTCCGCGATGCGGTACCTCTCCGACGTAGGGTTGGCGTACACGGCGGGCAACATGGGCTCGACGCTCGTGTCCAAGCCCTTTGCCTTCATGTCGCGGATCACCATCTTGCGGAGTAGCGGTGCGAAACGACGGTACCGAGGCAACACCACGGGCTTCGATTCGTCGACGGGGTGGTCAAGGTACCGGTGCTCCTCGGACTTCGGTACCAGCCGGTAGTCCGGCAGGTGGGGCGACGGAACGTGGCCGTCTGAAATAGAAAAAAAGTTACCTCTTATGTTGCGGTGCACGAAAGCAGATGCACAGAAGGGGGACACTCACACAGCACCGTCTAACAACTTTGTTCTTTTAGTTTCATTGTTTATTCTCCTTCAATGCGTTAAAAGAACACATTAAAAATCTCTGTTAGTGTCTACATGAACTAGTGGGTAAGTAATATAACTCCTTTCCTGAAAAAGAGATGGGCTGTTATCGCACTGGCGTCGTCGTAACATTGGAGGTATAAACAACCAACTTGCCGAAACTGCAGTCTTAAAAAAGGTAAGCGAAAACTGGCCAAGCTGGCAAATGCTCTCCAGTTGTCAATTGATGAGTCAATGAATATTTTATTTACACAAAAGAAGAGGGGGGAAAGAGAATATGTGCATGGCCAGCAGATAGGTCTATGGGCCGTACGCAGGGGCGCCTACTAGCCGACCTCGTACTGATCAACACGAATGCCAGGCGAGCAAGGGAGCCATTAGTCTGTGGTTTCCTGGCAAGTGGTTTCCTGGGTCACCGAGTGTCTGAGGCAACGAAGTCAGTTTGTCCTTGTAAGTGGCTCACAGTCCTCTACTGTGCAAGACACATCTGGTGTACCGCAGGAATCGGTCCTGGGGCCACTTCTGTTTTTGTTGTTTATTAATGATATCACCGAAGGACTAGTGTCGCAGATGAGACTTTTCGCAGATGACTGCGTTTTATGTGGGGCCGTCGCTTGTGTTGAGGACGCTAATCCCATACAGCAGGATCTTAACCGAATTAACCAGTGGTGCCTCAGATGGTGTATGCAGTTAAATTTAGGGAAAACTGTTTTTATGTCATTCACAAGGAAAAAAAAACCCGTACGCGGCCTCTTATGCCATAAATAACAATATTTTATCAAGAGTGTTAGAATATAAATATCTGGGGGTAAATTACACGACTGACTTAAGATGGAATACACGCGTTGATTACGTAGTGGCCAAGGCTAGTAAAACATTAGGGTTTCTCTGTCGTAATGCAAGAAACTTCAATAAAGACACTCGGGAATCGCTCTATAAAACATACGTCAGGTCAGTTATGGAATACGCCTGTGTCGTCTGGGACCCGCCTACAGCACATGGCAAAATAAAACTAGAAAGACTGCAGAACTTAGCCACTCGGTTTGTTACCGGGAACTATAGTAGAGATTTCAGCGCGACACACACAAAAGATATCTTAAAATGGGAGTTACTCGAAACTCGCAGAAGCAGACTTTGTTTGAAGTTGTTTCATAGCATTTAGCATTCAACAGTTGGCATACGAAGAGACATGTATATAATGCGGCCCCACTATCAATCGGAGCGTGTTGACCATAGTTTCAAGGTGTGAGAAATTTCGTTCAAAACAGAGGTATTTAGGATGTCCTTTTTTCCAAGAAATACCTATGAGTGGGATCGATTGCCTCCGTCTTTGGTTGGCATACTGTCAAATGATGCCTTTTTTTTCTCTGGCAGATTAAATCTAGCTTGAGTTCTTTATATTACCTCGCATTCCCTTGCGGGGTTTATAAGCTATGTTTATATGTACTGTTTATAAGTTTCCATTTCCTTGTATGGTTTATAAGGTTTATGTGTTGTTTGAATGTTTCATCTGCCGTGGAGCAGAGGTCTGACTGACATTGTATGTTTTTTTTTTTGTATGTATATCCCCCCACTGAAATGCCTGATTTGGCGCTGTGGGTATTGCATAAATAAATAAATGAAATAAATGTTATTTTTTTTTCTTTTTAATACATACAGATATACGGTATGTTTGCCATGCAAGTCGTTTGCTTCATCTGCACATGCTTGCTATGCAGATTTTAAACAGTTGAAAAAAAGCGACTTTGCGGATTCCGTTGACTTTTGGTGCGAAAAGTGGGGGCCTTGTACGAAGAAAGAAGTTATCTCGACAGACCCTAGGGTTGTTCATTCGTTCTAAACAGCGCAATTACTTTAGCCGGTGAATTAACAAACCAACAAAGACAACAAGCGCCTGGACAATGCACACTTTTGGCGTTGTTTGATTGACTACATTTGTACGTAGCGTCTGCTACAGTAGTATTAATTATTCAGCATTAGAAAACAAAAAAGGACGCGACCACTGTGGTTATTACCTCCGCGCAGCCTGCGGCCTCGGAAGATGCAATCGGCCCAGACCATTCCGTACTTGGTGGCGTCGTCCATGTACGGGACCACTTTCTTGATCACGAAGTACGACGGCTCCGGGTAGCGCTCGAACGTGTAGCGAGTAACAACTCGGCCGACGCCGAAGTCCTTCAGGTTGCTGAGAATCCACAGCAAGTGCTTGCCCAAGTACGGCGACGGATATCCGATGTATTTGATGCGAGGCATGCTGTTTCTGCTCTCTCTCTCTTACGCTGCTACAGACAAAACAAACCAAAATATGTTGAAACGAAGTGCCGGCTCCCCAATGCGGCACAGGTAAGTCGAATCGAAGTTCACTTCGGCGGCTCACATCACATGTTACGTGGTCGTGGAGGCGGCCATGTTTGCCTTTGGCACGGAGTGTGGAGCGTGTGGAGTGTTCCGCTTGCAGACTTCTTAATCCGTGTGACGTCACGTCATGTGGCGAGACCACCCTTCGAGATCGTTGCAAATTTTAAACATACAAAATAATGGAAATAATTGGCATATCAGTGATTTTATTGTTTATACTTTTGAGTTCAACATCTATTTCGAAGAATGGTGCAATTTTTTGGCGCCTCGTTTGAATTCGTCTTGGTAGCAGACGGCAACGACGCTTTGACGAGTGAGGCGCGTTCAACGTTGGCTAAAATATAGTATCGTCAGTGGCGTAGGCAGAGGGGGGGGTTTGGGGGGTCGAAACCCCTCCCAAAATACCAAAGCTACCCTCCCCCCCCCCCCCCCCCCCCCCCCCCCCCTTCCCTCCCCAACGGGCCCGCTCGCTGCCCTGCTCACGCAACCGGTTTTGCACGAGGCACGGAGCAACGGGGGAGCACGGACCATCTCCAACTTACAGGCTTCCGGAAAAATTTTTGGTGGGGTAGAAAATGCTCAGATTAATAAAATATGCAATATTGCTTAATTTATGTTAATTCAATGGGATGCAGAACTTGATCTCAGATATATAGAGAACGGATATTTCAAGATATTTGTCGGGTGAAGGATGGCAATTTCAACGCAAAATATGACAAACTATCCTCACTTAAATACACAGTTCAATCAAACCAATGTGAACATAATACAACGAACACACGGTGATAATATAAAACAATGTCAGTAATGTAAGGAATAATAAATGAATTGTAAAAAAAAAAAACAATCGCTTTGTAAGCAACGGGTGGCGCTGCGCTCACGCACACCTTTTGTGATCAGATTTACGTGCTTTCGACTAGAAATTACCACGAATAAATAGGTAACTCTGACTAGTGATATTAGAATGCAATTTACAGGTTCTCTTTATCATCTCATATATGCCAAGCGCCTACACATTAAAATGAAGCCGCTTGCGTTGACGGAAAAAAAAATATCCCGGACGTCCTCAGCTTGAACTTTAATGTCGCGGTGAACATTCAAAAACGCTATACTTCGTTTCAGCTTAAATCCAGGTGCAGCCGATGCCACAAGCACGAGTTCAGGGCTTTCAGCGTCCCTGCCAAGCACGGGCGTTCGTGCAGCGCAAGGCTAGTCAAGCTTCTTTCCACGTTCAGCGTGTAGTTTCTTTGTGGTGCGTCATGTCATTTCTCCGAGTGACGGAACGACGAGTTCGGACTGATGACTTCTTCTTACCCCGAGGATATGCTGCATGCCTTTGGATCACGCTGCAAGATAAAACGACCTAGCAAAGATAACACTATCTTTCCTTCGGCATCTGGTTCTGTAGCACGAATTCGTTAAACATTTAATAGATAATAGATTTTGGTTTTGTGATTGTTCAGAATTACCTTCGGCCCTAAATATGGGCCCCTAAAGACTAAAGTGTTTGTGCGTGGTCGGTTGCTCCCATTTTTCAGTGTCGAGATTTTTTTTCTTTTTTTTTTTTGCTGTTTATTTTTGTTTTTTGTATGTGTGTGAAAGTATAGCTATTTTTGTGTTTTCTCTGGCCTTTACGCGTTGGTATTGCGGTGCTACTTCGAAAAGCGAAGGGGAGTTTTGTGTTGTGAGAAAGCGTTTAAAGTTGGTGGGCCGCAATTACGACGACAGTATACAGTGAGCCACCCCGCCCGTATTCCTTTAAATGAAGCCTGCTCCGTTTTTAAAAAATGACAATGCAGCGCTACCCGTATTATCTTAACAGCGTCTCCCTAATCTTTGCCTGAGCGTCCGTGTCGGTGAGCTCACCCTCCGTCATTGACGGGGGGGGGGGGGGGGGGGGGGGGGGAGATGCCGTTGAACCCCTCCCGAAATAAAATCCTGGCTACGCCACTGAGTATCGTTATTCAAAATACCTGACGAGACTAATTAATCTCAGGTATTTCAATTACGTAGTATTGGGCGCATATAAGCTTGTATCCCCAGATGAATTAAACCGATCATTTCAAGAAAACTTCCCCACGCCCCGCCGTTCGCTTTGCTGCGCTCGGCTACATTCGAGAAAGGGCTTCATTGTACCAAATACCTTGTTTAGACGTAATTTGACGCAATCGGTTTGACGCTACAAGATAATTCAAATTACAGGGTTCATTTTGGATGTCAATGGCTTCGTCCGTACGCAAAGGGGTTTCTCTAGGAATTAAAATTAGGGGAAAAAGGGGGGGGGGGGGGGGGCGGGGGAAGAGAGGCAAACACAAGGAGGCCATTTTTTTTTCTATTTACTTCAATTCTTTTGCGCTGGTTTTTTTTTTTTTTTTTTTCTGCGTGGGGGCAGAGATGTATGCGTGGTGCCCGACAGTTTGTGGAACTTTACATTCAACAGCGTCAGAAAAGATCAGTCGCGGTATCAATACCGCAATATCGCAGTGAATGTCAATAACGAATTTCCATTCGAGAGAAGAAAAATCTGCCAGCACAGAAACGTGTCCATTATTTCGAAGTTTCGTCAGCGAAAGTAAATGCTTTCTCTTCATGATGCGAACGCATATCAAAACAGGTTATCTCACGGTATAAAAACGGGGCGATTAGTATCAATAAATTGTAGTCGCACTCTTTCTTCCGCCGTGACAAAGAAAACGACAGGATGAAATACAATGGACCTTTTCCGAGAAGCGTTCTGCGCACGCGCGAGCGCCCGATACCAAGCGGCGGAAGTCGGAACGAAAAATCGAGGAAATTCGGAAGGAGGCTGTATATCAGCGAGTAGAACACGTAACTGCAGCATATATATAATTGTGTTACACACACACACACAAAAAAAAAAAGAACGCCGACGGAAAGGAAAAAACAACGTTTGGGTGGACGCCACGGATGCCCCTCTTTCAAGTCGCGTTGGGCAGGCGCTGCTGCTCAGAGAGCGAAGAAACTGGTAGCGTAGCTCCCATTATCGATTGGTAGCGCAGGTAGGTCACTTCCTCGATTTTTAGTTCGTGCAGCCACCGCCTGGTGCCGTCGGTATGTGGAAAAGGTCCATCAAAGTTTTAAACAATTTCTAGGTATTTCTTGTTAATTATAATTACGGCATATGCTTATAATTCAACTTTTTATTTGTTTAGAAACAATAATTAACAATTCTAACTTTAAAGCAATTTTTTTTAGGTGATATGCCAGAAAATATTTAAACTTACGAACGCAGAAAGTGAGACAGGGAAAAACACAAAACAGTAACGAGCAAGTAGGCATCTAAATACTGGAAATAAAACGAACCGCACACGCTAAGAAACGGGAAACACATGCTCCCACGCAGTTGATCACAAGAACAAATTAGGGAGTTTTCGTACACCGCGTTTCCCCCTCCGCTAAGCCTACTGCGCATGCGCGCCTATGGCCTTGACTGTAGAGTTCCTGGTATCGACGCAGCGGGTTGCGGAGAGCCGTTGCGGGACGCCGAAAACGATCTACGAAAACTCCCTACGCACGCAACGCGGAACGCGAGTTCGTCTGCTTTAGTGGGTAGACCTCAATGCTAGCTGTCTCGCAGTCTACCCACTATTCTTCCAATCGAGCCAATCAGAGCTCGACGTTCTGACGTCACAGCAACCCTTGCACATGAAGTTGACGAACTGGGACTGCGCGTAACTTTGCGACGAAACCCAGACGATGCGTGCGAAACGGGACGCTCGCTATGAGTCTTGGGTTCAGACTAAGGTTCGACCTCAGCCCGCGTTTCAATCCGTTCGAGCCAATCAAAAAGTGTATCTCCACGGAGCTCGTCTTCTTTGTGCAATCAGCGGTTACATCGATCCACGCCCAAGGAAGGACCGCGGCGGGTTCACTGTACGTGATTGGCGCATTCGGGGATAGCACAAAGACAACGAGCGAAAGAAGATAGGGTGAGGGAAAGCAAAGCCGAGGAGGAGGAGGCAGACGGAACGCTGGAGAGGAGAGGGGGAAACCTCCTCCTCCCTCCAGCGTTGCGTCTGCTTCCTCCTCCCCGGCCTTCCCTTCCATTACCCTACCTTAGGTTATTCGGTACAATCTCCAGCAATAGTAACTAGACTAATTAAATACTTTTCGCCGCTCTCCGGCGTCTGGCCTTTTGATGGCGTATACGTAAGAAGAATAAGCGCGGTTAATAAATAAATTGCCCCAATGAAAGAAACCTTTCGCTCGTAAATAAATGGCAGCGATTTATCTCGCTTTCCTTCCCACACTCCCGCACTCAGTTTCTGGATTTTTTTTTATTATTATTAATTTGTTTTTGGTGATTAATCTGAAGGATCACCGGCGTTTCTATCCGTTTGTGTCTTTTCCTAGCCATCCCGTTTGAGGCGAAATCGTGCCAAAGGAGCGTACATCAACTCGTCTTTTGTCTGCCTGACGTGTCCCCGCCGAAGAGACCACGACAAAGGGATAAATAAAGCGGTGTTGTTTGAACCCCGCGGTACGACCGCGGCGTGGTATACCGACCGTTCAGGCCGAAATACAACAGTGAAACACGCGAGAAAAATAAAATCTAAAAATAAAAATCGACAGCGACATCTATTTTTAAGTTCTACATGTATACACACCAACTCAACTCTCACGTCACGACACTACGGTGGCGCTGTTGTTGGCACTGCGAATGCGCAGAAGTGGGCAAACGCGGGATTGTTTTGTGAACAGCACATTTGGTATACAGAACGCAGAGTCCTTTGAATTTGTTTAGAAGACATTAAGCGGTGGTTTCGGGGAGTGAACGAGAACATATTGCCTCGTGGGCCAGCGGGAAACGCTTCGCGCTTACTCTTGTCCCGAGTCTATAATTGATAAAAATGCCAACACGCCCTTACCGAGTCAATCTCGCCCTATGCGACGCTCGAACAATCTAGGACAGAATGTTCGAGATACCGAGTGTAGCAGATAAGGTGCACAGTTTGACCTTGCCGAGTGAGAGGCTGTCGCACTCTAGTGAGCAAGCTGTCACGCCGACACCTCCTTGCTCGCTGTTGCCTCGCCGTCGACGATCGCTGCCGCTTTCTCGAC